AAAAAAAAAAAAATGGTTCTATGATCAATCTTCTTGTAGTCAGAGTTTCTAAAGCAGATAATTAATTCCTAAATCCAAACTTCCCCTAAGTTGATTGTGGTTAATGTGGGTGACACCCATGGTGTAAATGGAAGTCTTCATCTTGCTTCTTCCCAGCCTGTTATGGGATGGAAAGGGCTTTGGGGTTAGGGGTTCACTCCCCTCCCCACAGTCTGGGACATAGACAGTATTGGCAAGTGTTTGTCAGATTGAGCATTTGAATGAGCGTCCTTCCTGGGATGGATAATCCTGGCGTTGTGATTTTTAGCTTTTCCAAAATTTGAGGATAGAAATGTCCTCAGGAGAGTAGAGCTGTGTCTTAATGACTTCACTCTCACCCTCCTTTAGATGCAGAGCTGTATTCCCTTGGTTTGCATTTGGATTTGGGCAGAGTGTCTTTCTCCAGTATCCCTGCCTTCACTCCCCTGGAGGGAATAGTGGCCCAGCAGCTGGTGCCAAGGAAGTTCTTTGTTTTGGGCATGCACTTGGCTATGTGGCTGGCATTTCTTTACTTATGTGTCTTCAGCTAAAGGTAGGACTCTGAGTGCCTGAGCTCACATCAGGTCAGTGGGAGGCACTTTGTGAGGCAGTAGAGCCTATGGGGCTCAGAGATGGCCCCAGAGCCCAGGGACTGTGTCTGTACAATCAGCCATCATGTAATGAATAATCAGACTTTGGTTTGGAAAGAATTGTGACAAAAACTGCTTCCCCGAGATTGTGCTTTGTCAAACCTCGTTAGGATCCCTGGAGGCAAGAGAAGCTGGTTTGTGGCAGGCAGCTGCTTGTCTTCCCCTGGTGAAAAGGAAGGAATCACACGTTTTCCAATCTGCTGAAAGATTTTAGCCAGCGGTTTCTTTCATCCTTACTTTTTTTTTTTTTTGAGACAGAGCCTCAAGCTGTCCCCCTGGGTAGAGTGCTGTGGCATCACAGCTCACAGCAACCTCCAACTCCCAGGTTCAAGCAAGTCTCCTGCCTCCGCCTCCGCCTCCCAAGTAGCTGGGACTATAGGTGCCTGCCACAACGCCTGGCTATCTTTTGGTTGCAGCCATCATTGTTGTTTGGCAGCCCCAGGGTGGATTTGAACCCACCAGCTCAGGTGTATGTGGCTGGTGCCTTAGCCACTTGAGCCGCAGGTGCCGAGCCCATCCTTACTTTTTTTTTGAGACAGAGTCTCACTTTATCGCCCTTGATAGAGTGCTGTGGTGGCACAGCTCACAGCAACCTCAAACTCTTGGGCTTAAGTGATTCTCTTGCTTCAGCCTCCCAAGTAGCTGGGACTACGGGAACCTACCACAACTGTCTATTTTTAGAGACCAGGTCTCGCTCTGACTGAGGCTGGTCTTGTTTTTTTTGGACAGAGTCTCACTATGTCACCCTTGGTAGAGTGCTGTAGTGTCACAGCTCACAGCAACCTCAAACTCTTGGGCTTAAGTGAGTCTCTTGCCTTAGCCTCCCAAGTAGCTGTGACTACACATGCCCACCATAACGTCTGTCTATTTTTTTTTTTCTGTAGTTGCCGTCGTTTGGCTGGCCCGGGTGAGGTTCAAACCTGCCAGTCCCAATGTATGTGGCTGGCTCCCTAACTACTGAGCTATAGGCACTGAGCCTCAGGCTGGTCTTGAACCCATAAGTTCAGGCAGTCCACCCACCTAGGTCTTCTAGAGTGCTAGGATTACAGGTGTGAGCTATTGTGCCCAGACTGGTTTCTTTCCTCCTTGCTAGGTTAGGGTATTTCTCCTTCTCAGGGTCTCAAACACCGCTCCACCCCTCCTGTTTCTGTTCTCCTATGGAGCACTGGAGGTCTTTCCGCCTTGCCCTTCCCTTCTCAGCCTTTTCTACCTCTTTCCTTCCCTTCCTTCTTCCCTCCTTTCTCCCTTTCCTCTCTCTCCTTTCTTTCCTCCCTTCCTTTTTTTTCTTTTTCTCCACTTCCCCTCTCTTCTTTCCTCCTCCTCCTTCTCCCTTTTTCTAAGATTTGAGTCTTAGTGTTTTGAAGCCAGTTGCTTGGGACTGTTTTAACTACCAGTTTTACTTTTCTTTGAACAGGTGATTCTAGAAAAGCCAAATGGGTTTAGTCAGAGTCCCACAGCCGTGTACAGCAGCCCACTTGAGGTAGGTAACAGAGGGGGACACAATGGTGACTCTGCGTAGCCAAGGCAGGGTTCCTCTTCATAGATCTCTTTGTTTATCGAGCTCTGTCTCTCTCTCTATACAAGAGTAATACTTGATGTAAAAATTCAAACAATAGAGAAATAGAAAAAGTCAAAATTCCCCATCTCTAATCCCAGTCCTGGAAAAGTATCTGCTGTTAACATACTGAAATGGGTGAATCCTTCCAGAATAGAGATTTTCTTTCTTTTTTTTTTTTTTTTTTTGAGATGGAGTCTCAAGCTGTCGCCCTCTGTAAGGTACTGTGGCGTCACAGCCCAAAGCAACCTCAAACTCTTAGACTTAAGCGATTCTCCTGCATCAGCCTCCCAAGTAGCTGGGACCACAGGTGCCTGTCACAACGCCTGAGTATTTTTTGTTGTTGTTGTTGTTGCAGTTGTCATTATTGTTTAACTGGTCTGGGCCAGGTTTGAACCCGCCAGCCTGGGTGTATGTGGCTGGTGCCGTAACCACTGAGCCACGGGCACCGCCCTCATAAGATGTTGTCAATTTACGAGACGGGCTTGTGCTAGATCTTTTTTCTGCTTTTTCCTTTTTTAACCCAACAACGTATTTTTAGTCCATTGTTGTAGTAAAGCCTAATTTTGTTTCTACCTCCCTCATGTAGTTTTATCTTACTTTTTGCATTTCATATTATATCTTAGGGTGAAATAACATTTTCATGAAAGTTTTATGTGTCATTAAATAGTCTTATAAGAACATCATGAAATGCTTAATAATTGTGTTCCAGGAGTCTTTTGACACACTTTCACTTGCCCAGTGGCTTAGGTGAGGCTCTGGAGGGATTGACCAGCTAACTTACTAATGCCCATGTATAGGATGTTGTGCTTCTAGCCCCTTTAGATGTGCAGTTTGGATTTTCCCCTTCCTTTGAATCACCATGTTTGGCAAATACATTGTTGGCAACTGATTATAATACCTGGCAGTATCTTCAGACAAGCTCAAAGCCCTGCCAGATATTATCTTAGCTGTCTTTAAGGCAGCCTATCAGGCAGGGTGTTGTAAAGAGTCTTCTCACTGCTTCCCAGATAAAGAAAGGAAGGCACAGGACCTAGTAATACTGCAGTGACTGGGACCCTGTCTCCCTCCTCCCAGCTGAGATCTCTCTGCTCTGGTTGGAGGATATGGCTGCTTCCCACCGTGCATGGAGAGATCTTCTCAGACCCACAGGGAGCTCCTAATTGAAGCCTCTGGTGCCTGTGCAGCAGAGATGGAGCATGTCAGCTCAGCCCCAACCACCAGCCCATAGCTGGGTGTGTCTGGGAGAGAGACTAAGCAATAACCTTGATGAAATAACTTTTCCTACCTTGAATCAGATTCCTGGACTCCTTGGGTGCTTTTGCCCTTAACCTGCCCATCCAGCAGTAACTCTTTATATGCCGATCTAGGTGTCAGGTGCTAAAGATGGTAAAGGTGTACCTTTGGGCACCTGCCCTTGAGATAAGTCCCAAATGGGGGTATGAACCCTGCTCTCAGAGTGGTCTAGTGTGATGGAAGGAAGCAACACACACACATAAAGATAGCATACACATATCTGCCAAGAAATTATTAGTTGACATACGTACAAAATATTATATACGTCTCTACTTGGTAGAGTGCTGTGGTGTCATAGCTCACAGCAACCTCAAACTCTTGGGCTCAAGCAATTCTCTTGTCTCAGCCTCCCAAGTAGCTGGGACTACAGGCACTTACCACAACACCCGGCTATTTTTTAGAGACAGGGTCTCTCACTTGCTCAGGCTGTTGTAGAACCTGTGAGCTCAGGCTGTCCGCCCACCTTGGCCTCCTAGAGTGCTGGGATTAAGGGTGTGTCTTGAAATAATTGGGTGATGTTAGTCTGGCTGAGTTAGAGTGTGAAGGGAGAATGTTTCATTGAAATAACTCAGAATTCTTGGCTGCCTAATGGTAACTTTCCCCTGTGTGATGTTAATTTTTCTGTGAGCATGGAAAATGCTCCCAACCAGTGCTACCAGATAATAAGACGGGTGGCTTTGCCTTACCTTCCCTGCTTTGGCTGCAGGTGGACACCTATACAAATGATGTTGAGAACTTGAGGAAGACCGCAAAGGACTTGCTTGCCAAGCTGCAGGAAACTGAGCGTCAACACCAGTCAGACCGTGTGGCTTTCGAGGTGAGATTTGGGATTTGGGAGAAGGTTCCCCGAGGGACAGGCTACTGGATGGGTGTGCCAGTGACAGCTTGGACGTCACGTCTCTCTGGCTGGGTGCCACTAAAAGGAAAGACAAGCCTTGGAGCCAGGGCACTTGCTGTCTGCTTCTCCCTTCCCTGGACATTGATGGTGTTTACTGGCCATGACTGGACATAGTTCAAAGGTCAGCGCTTGGTTCTCCGCTCAGGTGACACTGAGCAGTGATACTAGTGTGGGACAGCCGGTGATTTAGGAGTCATTTCTGTGTAACATGTTGAGAGTCACTGACTTCTCCAGCTCCTGACAGACAGGAACTGCTGCAGTCAGTGTTACCACTGAGTCCCTCCCAGTGTCTGACACAACACCTGGCATAAGGTTGGTGTTTTGTGTCGGACTTGGTGGCTCATACCTGTAATCCCAGCACTCTGGGAGGCCAAGGCAGGTGGATTGCTTGACCTCAGGAGTTCAAGACCAGCCTGAGCAAGAGGGGGATCCCATCTCTATTAAAAATAGAAAAACTGGGCATTGTGAGGGTGCCTCTAGTCCCAGTTACTCAGGAGACTGAGAAAGGAGGATCACTTGAGCCTAGGAGTTTGAAGTTGCTGTGAACTATGAAAAAAAAATTTTAAATGTGGGTGCTTTGTCAATATGGACTGGATGAGTGCTGTCATCTATTTGTCATAGAACTGTGACCAGGGAGTCAGAGGACTTTTTTTTTTTTTTTTGAGACAGAGTCTCACTCTGTCACCCTGGGTAGAGTGCCATGACATCATAGCTCACAGTAACCTCAAACACTTGGGCTCAAGTGATCTTCCTGCCTCAGCCTCCGGAGTAGCTGGGACTACAGGTGTCCGCCACAACGCCTAGTTATTTTTTTCTATTTTTCGTAGAGACAGGGTCTTGCTCTTGCTCTTGCTTAGGCTGGTCCCAAATTCCTGAGCTCAAGCCATCTACCTGCCTCCCAAGTGCTGGGATTACAGGAGTGACCTCCCTGCAGGAGTCAAAGAACTTGAGCTCTAGTTTTGGCTTTACTATGCAGAACTTTGTAATCTGAAATGAGTATCTTAATTATTGTTATAAAAGGTAATAGTAGGTGGCTCATGCCTGTAATCCTAGCACTCTGGGAGGCTGAGGCAGGTGGATTGCCCTGACCTCACAGGTTTGAGACCAGCCTGAGCCAGAGTGAGACCTCGTCCCTAAAAATAGCTGGTTGTAGTGGCAGGCACCTGTAGTCCTAGCTACTTGGGAGTCTGAGGCAAGAGAATCACTTAAGCCCAAGAGTTTGAGGTTGCTGTGAGCTATGACACCAAAGCACTCTACCAAGGGCAACAAAAGTGAGACTTTGTTTCAAAAAAATAAATAAATAAAAAGTAATAGTATATATATATATATATATTTTTTTTTTTTTTTGAGACAGAGCCTCAAGCTTTCCCCCTGGGTAGGGTGCTGTGGCATCACAGCTCACAGCAACCTCCAACTCCTGGGCTCAAGCGAGTCTCCTGCCTCAGCCTCCCAAGTAGCTGGG